CCAGTGGTGTTGCTGCTGGGTGACTCTGGTGGTGGAGGAAGCGCCTGCCCGCCTGCCCGCCGACCTGCCCGCCCTGGGATCCTGCCCTTGCAGGCGGAGCAAAGGCAGCTATGGCATCGGAGAAAACCAGGGAAGAGGAAGAAGAGCGCCCGCTGCCACCACCACCCTCGGGCCAGGAGCTGCCCAGCGGTCCCTTGGGCCAGGCGGCCGCCCCCTGTGACCCCACCCCACCCAGAGGACTTGCCAGCTTGCCTCTCAGGTAAAGCCCCCACCCCACCCACCCCCGGCTGGGGTGTGCAGGCGGCTCTAGTCTCGGGCCCGCCCGAGGTCCCTGGCCTCTCTGCCCCATCCGCCCTCCCTGGTCTGAGCTGCTTCCTGCCCTGCGGACCATCTTTGGGGTGGAGCCTCGTTCTCTGCTCCGCCATCCCAGGAGGTCCAGGTCATGGGAAACTGAGGCAGGTCCTTTTCTCTGGCAGCACCATTTTTGTGGAGTTCTCTCAGAAGAAAGGAAGTGAGAGGACCCCAGAGCCCACCCTTTTCTCTGGTAGCACCGTTTTCCGTGGAGTTCTCTCAGAAGAAAGGAAGTGGGAGGACCCCAGACCCCAGCTGGGGGGGGGGGCTGAGGAAGAAGTGGTTTCCTTCCTGCCCAGATGTTAACACATAGCAGTGTACTTGGTGGGGACTCAAAGGGTCATCTAGTCCAGCCCCTGCGGATGCTAGAGTCGCCCTGACAGGTAGCCCTCCCCCAAGGGCTGTTTGAAAACCTCCAGTGGGAAGGGGGGGCCCTCCACCTCCAAAGAGAGGGAGTTGCCCTGCCCAAGAAGCCCCACCGGTTACAGAGCACTTGCTGGGGTGTAATTAGAAGATCTAGGTTTTCCTTTCTACTCTGGAAGTTTCCTTTGCCTGATGGTGTTTTGGCCTCGTTTTGTTTGTTCTCTGAAGTAAACGGCCTGGGGCATCTAAAGGCCAATACGTAGCTACAAAATCTTTGCATAAACAGGGCAGTCGGTAAACAAATGGTAATATCTGGATACAAGCGCACCTCCTTGCAAGCGGCTTTGGTTTCACCACCTGGTTTATCAAAAGCAAGGAAGGGCAATGCAACGCAGCCAAGCAATTAGCCTCCCGGTTTCTGCTGTGGGTCAGCAACCTTGTGTGACCTTTCCCCATCCAGAGTTTTTGGTCAAAGGCTATGGGTCTCCTTTGGGGGCATGGATAGGAGCCGGGTGTGTCTTGCACGGGCAGCCAGCCCTTCCTTGTGGCACGCGGCACCGGGAGAGTCTTTGAAGGCGGCCAAGGGCTGGCCGCTGGCACTCTGTGCAAGGTCTAGGAATGCCCCTTAGTCCTAAGAAATTTGACTAGCTTGCTTTGGAAAAAGAAAGGGGGGAAAAAAAAAGAAATTTGGCTAGCTTGCCAGTCGCATCGGTCAGGTGACCTGGACATCAGGCCCCCATTTCTTTGGCCCTGGGTGTGCAAGGAGGGGAGGCAGCGGGTGGCACACGGGGGTGAGCTTTGCACGGGGGTGTTGATGTGTCTCTTGGCTTTGTTCCTTTCTCTCCCTGGGACAGCACAAGTGCCCTTTCCGCCGACGGAGACGCCGGCCTGCCGCCACCTGTGCCCCAGGGCCCCCACCCCTGGGAAGACGAGAACGGGGAAGGCGGCCCCTCTGAGGATGCTGCCGAAAGGGACTGCAGGACTCTGGAGACGGACGCCCACTGGCCCGCTCCCAAGGGCCAAGAGGGCCCAGCGGAAGAGCCCACCGGCCCCCCTGGCCTGCCTTCCACCAAGGCTGCCCCCTCTGGAGAGGAGCTGTCTTTGCCCGGCTTGGACAGGGCGGCGGGAGAAGAGAGCGCCCCCCGGTCTGGGGAGCCGCGACCGACGACTCCCCCGCTTCCACAAACAGACTGCTCTGGGGACCCAATGGGCGCCGTCCTTTGCTGCTCCAAGGCCGAGCTGGGAGCGTGGGTGTTGCAGCACGGCCAGAGGCAGAACGGGTGCCTGGACGTGGAAGACGCCGCCCTGGCGGCCCCTCTGCCGGGGGAGGACCCAGAGCCCGAGGAGGACCCCTCCTCCAAGCCTTCCCAGAATATCGCAGTGCAGGTCAGGGGCCCCCTCGGAGAGCATTTTTCTCAGGGAGGGGGTGGGGAGGGGGGTGCCCTCCTCTTCCTCCTCCTCCTCCTCCTCCTCCTCCTCCCCATGTCTCACAGCCTTCCCTGGTGCAGGCTGAGCAATTTTCAGTCTCCCAGTCCTTGTAGAGGTGGGTTTAGGAGAGTGATGGAGGGGGTGGCCGAGCACGGCTAGGGACCCATGCAGAAGCCCAGTTCTCTTTTGGCTGGCTGGCTGGTTTGGCATCGGTGAACCAAGAGAAGGCTGGGGTCGAGCAATTTTCAGTCTCCCAGTCCTTGTGGAGCTGGGTTTAGGAGAGCGATGGAGGGGGTGGCCGAGCAGGGCTAGGGACCCGTGCAGAAGCCCAGTTCTCTTTTGGCTGGCTGGCTGGTTTGGCATCAGTGAACCAAGAGAAGGCTAGGGTTTAGGCCCTGAGCCCAGCTGGCCTCCCACTTGCTGGCACAGCGGCTTCACCAAAGGCCCTCTGAAGAGGAAGGCCAGCAGCCCTGCACACACACACACACACACACACACACACGAGCAGCACTCGCTTGGCAAGGGTGAGGCTGGCAGGCAAACCCCCCTCTTTTGTCTCTGCAGACTGACTTCAAGGTTGTGGACCTGGAGGTGAACACAGATCAGGACATTGAAAAGAACCTGGTAGGTTTTTGCAGGAAATGGGGACGGATTAGGTTCCTGGCTGGCGGCTGTTGTTTTTTCTTTGGGCAGGCAATGGGGGGGGAGCCCTTTCTCCGTTGCTGGGGGAAGAGCTTCCCATCGGCATTTCCTGAGTATGTGCAACTGGAACCCCCCTCTATGCCGTTGTTGCTGCTGCTTGGTTGCATTCACGGGGACCTGGAGGGGTCCAACACACCCCAAGGGATGGCCTTCCGATTGTGTTGGGCCACTTCTCCAACAGGACGTTCCCTGCTCGGGACGACCTGGCCAGTTTGGAAGGAAAGAGTCAAACCATCCCCGTCATGGGATTCCCTGCTCCCGGTGGGTCGGTGCCCTTGTTCGCTCTGAACAGGGTCTGCCACCTCTGCTCTAGGAGCCCTGGAGCCGGCCTGCATCTGCAGGGATTTTGCTGTCAGCTAGAGCCACAGAATCGTCCAGAGGCAAAGGGTCATCTAGTCCAGCTCACTTTGCCAATGCGGGAGTCGGAAGTAAATCTTGGTGGCTTAAAATATTCCATTATTAGGATTCCTTTATTTGTCTGTGAGCAAGACACGGAGAGCGGGGTTACAGTAATGAACAGAGCGACATTTCCATTGTCCAAAAGGAAAAAGCGGGCCTCCCTTGAGCCTTCTCATTGTATCCCTGGCAGGATAAAATGATGTCTGAGCGGGCATTGCTGAAGGAGCGCTATCAGGAAGTGCTGGACAAGCAGAGACAGGTGGAGAACCAGCTCCAGGTGCAGCTGAAGCATCTCCAGCAGCGGAGGGAGGAAGAGATGAAGAACCACCAGGTACCCAGCCCCATGCCTGCCTTGCGCTCTCTCCACAGACGCTTAGCCGTGGGGCGCCCGTCATCTCAGGCTGCAGGGCAGAAGGGGACTCTCTCTCTCTCTCTCTCTCTCTCTCTCTCCCTGTTTTGGATGCTGCTGCAGCCTCAGTCTTACGGGAGAAGCAGCCACTGCAGGAGATGTGATTGTTTTTCTCCTGGACAAGCCAAGCAGTCTGGGAGTAAGTTTATCCCCAGGCACATTCCCCACATCCCAGAGGTGGAGGGTGCGGGTATATGTGTGCCATTAGGGGAGATGCTTCCCCACCTTAGACCGAAAGCTGCTCTCTGCTCCTGACTTCTCATACTAAATTTCAGGAAGTTAGTGCATCTTTTCTAAGATGCGCAGCTTTAGTGCTGGCCTTCTGGCAGCTGGATGTTAGGTTATATCTTATTTCCCTGTCTTTAGAAGGGTTGCTTCCTGGGGATAAACTTACTCGCTCCAAACACAGATGTTCCCAGACTCAAGCCACTACTGCTGCCAGTCAAAGTTGGCACTGCTGGTCCAGATGGACCAAGGGTCTGGCCGGTATATAAGGCACGTTCTTAGGTTTCTGGATCTGCAAATACAGACACATACAATGTTAATCGGTGTAGCATGTGTGTTGGGAGTGTAGTGCAGAGGATACCCTGGGAGCAATGTTCAAACCTCACAGTGGTTCTGAAATGGCCGGATGGCTTATGGCAAGCTATATGAACCCTAAGTAGCATCTTGACTCTTTCACATTGAGTTGTTGCTGTAACCTGAGGAGGATTACTTTGCATGCCTTGAATGGTGCCATTTTTATTTAATTGTTGTAGAAAACGTGGTTATAAATTCTGTAGGTGAAGTGCATGTAAAGCCGCTGCAAACTCTTGGTCCTATGCAGAGGTCAAGTATTTATTGCTCTCCCTTCTCCTCTTCCCCAGGAGATCCTGCAAGCTATCCAAGATGTGACCGTTAAACGGGAAGAGACCAAGAAGAAGATGGAGAAGGAAAAAAAGGAATTTCTGCAAAAGGAGCAGGACCTAAAAGCAGAAATCGAGAAGCTCTGTGAAAAAGGCAGCAGGTACTTGGGAGACTTCAAGGCTGCCGGTGGCAGAGACCGGCTGGGGGAGCCCTGCTTTTGCCCGGGCCCTGTGGCTGGCCCCAGAGGACTCGCAGGCTTCGTGCTGGCTCAGTCCCCATAGCGGGAAGCTCCAGTGGGACCGGCCATCCTTTGGGGTGGGCACAGGGTTGGGGCTGCCCCATCCGGATGGGTTTGAGGCCCCTGAAGCCAAGCAAGGGAGCAGGTTCGGCTTGCAGGTTAGCCAGATTGGCCAGGAGCAGCGTTTCGCCCCTGGCCGGCCGGCTGGCCGACCTGCAGCTGCTTGCAGGCATTCAGGCGGGCTGTCCTTTCCCTCTGCCTGCGCAGGCTGCTGAAGGAGCAGGAGGAGAAGGAAGGCAAGATCGTCTCCCTGGTGGCTGAGCAGTCGGAGGAGAAGTACGGCTCTCATTTATCGCTTGGCTTCTCCCGTGGCCCCCTTTCTCCTCTGCCCCACCTGGTTCAACCTCTCCTTTCTCTTTTCCTTCCCACCTGGGAGGGAGGGGGTTTGGTCCTGGGGGAGGTCGGCCTTGTCATCCACGGAGCGGAGAGACAAGACTGGCTTTCCATCTTGTCCAGGAACCTGTAACAACTCTCCCTACCCCCCCCTGCGCGGGGTTCTTTCCTGCAGTTCCCAACGAGAGTGGGGTTGCCACCCCCCAGGAGTGATGGGTTTTTCAAAATCCTGCCTTTCTCCACTCCTGCTAAGGCAACCAACAGAGAGGGGGGCGAGGGGTGATGCTCAGGTTAGCCTCCCTGCACCCCCAGCCCCCGAGGTCTGTTCCTGGTGTTGTCCAGGTCAAAGGCCCTGCAGTCATGCCTGTGTTTACAGGGGTGTGGGCAGCAGAAGCGGCCAGAATAAAACCCGCTCCTCTTTAAAGTGCTACAACACTCTTTGCTGGTCAGTGGGATGATAGCGACGCCCAAGAGCCTTTTAAGGAGTGTTTGGCAGAGTTCACCTCCCGGTTGCTAAATCAGAGCCCCCTTTGCCCCTTAGGGAGGCGTGGGAGTTGGAACTGGACAAGCTGAAGGACCAGCAGAATGAAATCAACAGGTCTGTCCTGGAGGAGACGGAGCGGGCCTGGAAGGCAGAGGTAGGTTTGCTGAGCCCCCTTGCCCTGCCTCGAATAAATGGGGCACTGTGTTCCACAGGATCCCAGGGGGGCAGCTGGACGGAGGATGCCCCACCCACCCGCAGCCTTCCTTCGACTGTACACCTTGGTTGCCGCGGGCAGGCGGTCCCTGCCTACAGAACGGCCCTTGCAGGAGGATGGCTGGGCTGGAGCTGTCCCGCCACGTTGCCGTCTGAGTGGCTGAGGGAGAGCTGGGGGACCCAGTGGGGCTTCTGTTCTTTCCAGATCCTGTCCCTGGAGAGCCGGAAGGAGTTGCTGGTGCTGAAGCTGAAAGAGGCAGAAAAAGAAGCCGAGCTGCACCTCACCTACCTCAAGTGAGTGGGGGGGGGACCCAGACTCCCTCCGGGCACAGAGGCTGCACGGGGCAGATTCCTGGGCAATACTGGCAGGGGTGCCTCCCTGGGCGGTTGTCTTTCTGCCTTCCTCTGCCTCTTCGGCTGTCCTCCCACCTTTTTTTATGGTGGGACCCTCCCCCCCCCCATGAGAGGGGCCTCCTTATTGGTCCTTGCTGCTTTCGCAGATGACAAAACCACAGGGCAGCTCCTTTCCAAAGGAGAGGCTGTGCCGCTTGGTATGGCCGTTTCATCACAACAGGGCTGGGAACAGCAAGTGGTGCCCGACAGCCCACTGTAGGCTGCATGTCAGGCTTCCCTAGGCCGACCTCTGCCCCCAGAAGTTTTCTTTTGGGAGGCCACGGTGGGTCATCCTCTGTGGGTGCCTGACACAGGTGGTGGGAATGGCCCTTGGTGGCTTTTCCCCTTTCCGGCAGGAGCCCCATGGTGCCTTCCCTGCAGGGCCATAGGGATTACCTGCCCTGTGACATCACACACACCTGTCTGTGACTGAAGATGAGCCGGCTCTCACACAGAACCTCAGGCCTTCCTCGGCGTGGCTGCTCGGGGCAGGGCCAGGGAGGAAGCCTGCTCGCTGTGCATTCTCTCTCTGGCTGTAGGCGAGAGAGCAGGGGAAGCCGCTTGATTACGCTCCTTGCCTTTGTGCCCGGACAGGTCAGCCCCACCCACCCTGGAGACCATTCAGCCCAAGCAAGAGTGGGAGACGAGGCTGAACAGAATACGGATGACCAAAGAGAGCGTCCGTGTGAGTGCGAACAAAAGGTTAATGAAGGAAGTACCCCAACGGGGCGCAGGCTGGAGTAACTGTCCAGCTAGGCTGTCTTTTTGGTGGCGTGCATGCCCCGTTGGGGGCCTCCCTGCAGCTCCCTCGCGCACCCCCCTCCCCCGGGGCTTGGAACTGCCTCTGACTTCCCCAGAAGAAGAAGATGCTTCTGCAGACGGCTGGAGATTCCCCCTCCTTCTCTGTTCCCTTCTCCCCTAGGATCAGTTCAACGACCACATCCAGCTGGTACGGAACGGGGCCAAGCTGAGCAGCCTCCCGCAGATCCCCACACCTTCCCTGCCGCCACCCCCACTGGAGGTGAGCCTCTTCCCCTTCCCTGGCTCCCCGGTGGGGCCCTTGGGCCAGCGGCGCACGCTCTCTCCACTTGCCCTACCTCACCAGCGGGGAAGAAGGCAGCCCTTGGAGCCCCTCAAGCTCCCTGGGGGGGGGACATCCACACAGAGTGGCCACGATCATAAGGACGCTCCGGAAGCGGGCTGTCCATGGCTGTTGGTTTTGACCCCTGTTTGGTGATGGGGTGGATGGGGTGGCCCCCACCCCATGAGGACAGCCCCCGCCCCCGAGGAGCAGCCCCCGAGTGAGGGTCTCCCTTTTCTCCTTCCTCCCAGGCGGACTTCCTGCTGCCGGCTTTCCAGCAAAGCAACCCTGCCCTCCCCCCTCGCCTGCCTTTCCCCGTCGGGACGGTCCCCGTGCCCATGCTGATGCCCAGCGCGGACCCCCGGGTCCTCTCCTTCCCCCTCCTGAACCCTTCCCTCTCCAGGCCCAACCAGCCCTCGCCCCCCTTGCCGGCCTCCCAGGGCCGGAGCAGCCCCATGCTCACCTCGCTGGCCAACGCTCGCACGACGCCCACGGCTTCGCTCCCTCCCCCGCCGGGCCTTGGCGGGGTCAAAGTGGTGCCCGAGTTCCCCCACAGACCCCCGCCGGTGGACAAGTTGGAGAAGATCCTGGAGAAGCTGCTGATGCGCTTTCCTCAGTGTAACAAGTGAGTGAGCCCCAAGCAGAGAGGAGACGGCCGGCCCTTTCGGCCCAGGGAGGAAGCCGAGCGGTGCCTGCCTTGGCCCAAGGGTGCAGGCAAGAGCTGGAGGCCGGCCAAGAGGCGGCTTCTCGCATAAAGCCAAGGCAGGGCATCAAGCAAGCTGAACGGGTGCCCCTGAAACCAGCCCCTGGCTCCTTCGGGTCAGTTCCCCACCCGCACGTGGCCTGCTCCGGAGCTCTGCTGAACTGCAGCACGAAGGAACCCGCCCCCTGCAGCTCCTGCTTGGCCAAGGGTGGCTCTGCTGGGTTGGGGCTTCTCCCCTTTGGGATGGAAGGGAGGGGGTTAGTGCAACCTGCCTGGGGAAAGGGGGCAGGAATGGCTCTCCCGGAAGGCTTCTCTCTCCTCCTCCTCCTCCTCCTCAGGGCTCAACCCACCAACATCCTGCAGCAGATCAAAGCGGCCCGGAGAACGCTGGCCGGCCTCACCATGGAGGAACTGAACCAACTGGTGGCGGCCAAGCTGGCTGAGCGGCAGGAAAGGGTGGCCGCGGTTGGCACGCAGGTAGGCTGAGAGCCCTCGTGGGGGCTCAGGCGGGCAAGGCCTCCAGGCGGTGACGGCTCCTGAGGGGTCTGGAAGCCTGGGGGTCGAGCCAAGCCCAGCCGGCGGTGGGCATCTCCTGGGGGCATCTCCCCGGCCTGGCCTACCTCCCTTCTCCCTCTGCTGCAGCCTCACAGCCGGATGTGCCCCTCCATCTTTCCTGCTCCTCTGCCTCAGATCAGCAGCCCTATGTTCTTGCCCTCGGGCCAGGTCTCCTACGCCGGGACCCCCCCTCAGGTGAGATGAGCCTCCCGCCTCCACTGGGAGGGAGGGAGGGAGGGAGGAGGGGATCCTGCCCCCCCCCCGGCCTCCAGACTCACCGTTGCCGTCCCCCCACCCAACCCCACCCCACCCCAGGCGCCTGCCACCTGCAAACTCTGCCTGATGTGCCAGAAGCTAGTCCAGCCCAATGAGCTCCACCCCATGGCCTGCTCCCACGTGCTCCACAAGGAGGTGAGTGCCGCTTGGCCACAGCAGCGGGTGGTGGGGCAGAGACCTAGAGATTGGCAGAAAAATGGGGGGCAGCCTTTGATTTGCTGAGAAGACTGGGCTGCCCACCCCACTCCAGGTGGCCTGATCTTGCCAGGATGGGCTCCCTGGTCAGGTGTTTGGCCTGAGAGCCGGCGGAAACTGT